GTCCAAGGGTGACATGGAGGAGATCGTGCGAAGAGGAACTGAAACAGTATGGATTAACATGGATGCAAGTGAAAAGTACAGCACAAAAGAGAAGCAAGTGGAGGCGTGCAGTTGAAGCCCTATGTTCCACTAGGAACCCAAGGGAACAATAATAATAATACGAAACCAAATGTCAAACGGTTGATGTCGGCTGAGCACAGAAAGCAACTACGTGAGATTTTAAGTAATAAACACTTGGTGCTGATCCACCCGATAAGGATGCTGGCAACGTCCGAATGAATTGCCAAGACTATGTCGATAAAATGTAATCCATCGTATCAGATGAAAACAAATTTTCAATGGAGGATAACCAGAAAGAACAAAGTGAACAAGTCGAAGGAAAGATAATACAAATGCTGAAGAAGATGGAAAACGAATCGATTATTAACTCTCGGTTTTTTGAGTAAATATGTCCCTCAGTTCTGTAATTCTGTGGTAATATGATCTCCCGAAAGTACACAAAGAGGACTTACCACTACGGCCAATCTTGGATATGACAAATTCACCATATCATGCTACTGCCAAAGACTTGCAGACATCCTTTAACGTATCAGAAGTAATCTCTGTCAACATAGTGTTTCAGGTTCATTTGAATTCCGTTATGGATAAGATTTTATTTTGATAAATCACACAGTGTTACACAGTAATATTAACTGATGACGTTTCGAGCACAAATTATTACTGCTCATAATCATATCAAGTCCCTCACACAAGTTTTTTCTTTCATTTATATACATGTGTGGAATTGACTAGATATTTAAATAAAAATCAGTATAGGATAATGTACATTCAGAAATAATAATATGAGTGCTATTGATCAATTACATTATCCTATATTGATTTTTATTTAAATATCTAGTCAATTCCACTCATGTATATAAATGAAAGAAAAAGTTGTGTGAGTAATTTGATATGATTATGAGCAGTAATAATTTGTGCTCGAAACGTCATCAGTTAATATTACTGTGTAACATTGTGTGATTTATCAAAATAAAATCTTATCCATAATGGAGTTATACTTTACCACAGTGCCCAAGTTTTATACTTATTCATTTGAGTTCGTCCATTCAATAAGTGATGTTAATGTATCCGGGAAGAAAATGATATTCCTGGATGTTACGTCTCTTTTCACCAATGTTCCTCTGACTGAAACTTTGCTTTACATGCAAATTTATCGAAGATTATAATGTGGATGTTCCGATCCACTACCTAAAGGAACTACTTTTGAGATGCACTTTCAAGTTCAATAACACGCTGTCTAGACAAAATGAGATGGAATGGGAATGGGATCACCATTGGTTCCTTGACTTGTAAACTGCTTCTTGGCAAGCCTAGAGAATAAGATGTTACGACCAACTATCGATAGTTTTCATATGTACCAAAGATACATGGATGATACTTTTATCATATTAAATGAGAATACTAACATCGAAATAATAACTAAGGAGTTCGGCAACTGCCATCATGCTATCCAGTTCACGTCGGAATAAGAGATGAACTGGGAATACCATTTTTGGATGTTTTGCTAAAAAGAAGTTTTGACGGTTCTCTTCGAAGATAAATCTACAGGAAACCAACATGGAATGGTCGATACACAAATTTCTACAGCTGGGTCCCTTTGAGAAATCTAAAACACTCCTTATCCTCAAGAATAAGAAGGATATGTATTAGTGATGCAATCGACGGGGAACCGGAGGGACTCAGACAGGTCCTCATGGAAAATGGATATCCCTCAATATTCATGGAGAAAAACATGACGGTAAGGCAAAAGCCTGAAAGAACCCAGACAGTGCCGAAGAGACTGTCATTAATGAACGTTGAATATAAAGGTGATACTGCTGCTAAGACCCTAAAGAATCGCTTATGCGGATCACCGAGAAAAGCCTTCTTTTCGGCTGAGCCACGGATCAATTTTTACCGCTGACAAATGTTTGAAGGATAAACTGCAGCTTTGGGCCACTTCTTAGTCTTAATAAATTCACTTCTTCCTGTAGAACTAGTTATATTGGCCTCACACTTTCCATACGCATCTCTGAACATTATCCGGCATGGTTATCAAAAGGACAATGTAAAACAGTAACTAGCTCAGTTCTCGAGCACTTGGTAAACTGAAGCCACGCAACCCCACCAGTCATCTTTCAAGATTATCTACAAGTTGAGATCAGATGGTACAAATGGCAGTAGATTTCGGCATTTGCGTCTGGCGGAGGCATCGGCAATTCGTTAATACAACCCCGAACTCTATGTACAGAAGTTTGTCCAGTAGCTTATTCTACCATGATCTTAACCTCTTTGTTAGTCGTTCCCTGCAATTTTCATATTTTTAATGTTTACTTTGCTTTTACTGTAATACTTAATTCCTCATTATCACTCTCACATATTCCTTTTGTACATTTTCTCACCCTCTTCACACTTGTTAAATTGACACTCCACTACCTTTATTCACACTCAACAACGATTTAAACCTTATCAAGTTTCTAACCCCTTCTTTCTGTGTCGTCAAGTGCTACGCAATTTACAACTTTAATTTTTACTTCTGAAGCCACTTCTGAGTAATTACATAAATTATGTCACCCCATATTACTCAATAATGGACTACTATACATTTTTGGTCAATACAAATACGACTGTACAGCCTTTGAAGATGATTTAATCAATGAAGAAAATTTGATTCACGGAATGGTCTCGTTTTTTCTTAATGAATGAGTATTTCTGTAGATTCAAAAGTACTATAATAAGCAGAAATATGACCGAGAAATAGAAGTAACAGAAAAATACGACGGTTTAGTGTATATAGGGGACCACAGAAACTGAATGCATTTGCGCCATTGGGGAGGATTTTGATCCATATCTCCAATAGTCTCTAAGCATTGGTACGTAGAATCCCGACCAGGGAATGCACATCTCCCTACGTGGCTCAAAGTAACTGTCAAAGATTTCACGGGCAAATACCAGGGTTTTGGTTTAACCCCGCCAACTCTTTTCTAAAACTAATCCCTTTCGGCTAACATCACCCATCGAGGAAGGCGATGGTTTTGGATGCGCAACGCATGTCCTAGCCATCTCAATCGATGCAGCTTCACAACCTCAACGATCGACTAACCCTTCTCATCGAACATTCCACGTCTAACCCCAACCTTACTAACAATATTGTACCACTTACAACAGGAGATAGAAGGTAGGCACCTATGATCAAAGACAGCTAGCCCTCTTCGTATCTCCCACTTTAAATGCCCATATCTCACATCAATAAATGAGGACAAAGTGAAGTGCTGCGCAGTACACAGTCCTTTAATCGACATCTAGTTGATTATGTGCAGGAACATTTAAAAAAATAACTATAGATACCAGCAAAGTTGACGAAAAGTAATGAAACACTCTATATTGAGTTGCATTTAATGGTGCTTTATCAACTACTAAATTGTTTCACTGACTATCAAAAACCTCATGGGAAACATTTTATGCAGCTAGTCGGCTAATGTTCGTGACTAAAATTGAAAATAAACAAGCCAGTCCTGTCACAGCTATGCATCATCCCAACTGCTTCTGCGTGATAAACATACCCAAGCTACTTGTAGATACCTCCCATCTTTGAGTGAGAAAGGGCAGATCTGTAGTTTGTTAATAGTGAACAAAACGAAAGCACGTATGCTGATTTGTCAATCTGTGAAATCCTGCCAATGGTATTCGTTCCCGTCTACTATCTATAGCGAAGATGACTGGCTTTCGTACTACTAAGCCTAAACTGTGGATTTGCTTGGTCACTGAAGACCGAGGTATCACCACTCCTCGTATATTTCCAGTCTGTTTCTTAACTTTCTCGCTGTGATTTTTCTTGAACATGGGATTATTTAAAAGTATTCATAACCACCTTTAATACGGTTTCATTTAAAAGTGTTAGAGGGAAGGCTACTTCAAAACAATATTGCTGGCCTACGCGTGCCTTTTTAAATTTTACCGTGAATCTGCATTACCTAAGTATCTGATACTCGTCGTCGTTAAAGCGCTATCCTAATGGAGAGGGTGGGTAGACAAGGGTTCGATCTGATATCCATTCAACCACCCAACAACCCGCTCTCCCGGGAATCCGACTTCATCCATCGCCAGGAGTCAGTATTCAGACAACCTCAGATGATCAGGCAGGAATTTTCTCCCAGTTGCGACTACTAAAATCTCGACTTAGTTCCTATTGAGTTAGCTATGAGTTATTAAGTTGAAGTAACATCGGTAGCAGCGTACTAACGAACTTAAAATGCACTTATCTGTGCCTAATAGTCCCAGCAACTTCATACAAGATCCACTATAAGTGCAACTGCTCTTGGTTAAAAACCAGCAACACTCAAAAATCAACGAAGAACAGTATTGCATATTGTGATGGTACAGCGAAGACTAATATGAGTACATAATATGATGCGCGCACCATGAAGGCAGTATCGTCTTCACACCTGGTTTCAATATGTACGTCACATCTACTGACGGCCTGAGATTCACTTTCACTGAGTTGTTCATTAGCTTCAGTGCCGAACTGCTTTTCGTAGTTTATACTCATATGTATACCGCATATGAGACACTACACTCGCCTTAAATCGATACTACATTTAACTGCTGTTTTAAATTGACTACTAAGATAAGCGTGATGACGAAAAGGATAGCAAGCGGGCAATATGTACATTATCCTCCAAACCCTAAAATATAACACTACTGAAATAACAAACTTTCGTATCAAAATTTTAGTAACTGATACGCATCGATCAATCCTCACATTAAAATCCGACTACTTTAGATGAGTACACATCTACAATGTTCAAAATCACAATTAGCTAGCATAGAATACTACCTAAAAACGATATCAATACAGTTAACTGAATAGTGATAACACCTAGATAACTGAACCAACTAAGCGTGATTAACCACAAACTTTGCAATGCAACCAGATATAAATAAAAACTGCAATCAAACTTCCGAAATAAACTTTATTGCAATTTAATGGCCAAGACGCCTAGCCCGAATTCTCTTTTCGCGATCTTCCATTATAGATAACCGTATTCCTTTACCCTTAGGTAGGGAAACCCATGCCTTGTTCGATTTCCCGATAATGAAAATGTTATTCAAACGGGTTACAAATTGGTGTCCCGTGCTATCACGTACGTGAACCATTTCGACAGATCCAGGATGGCGTTCCCATTGGGTGATGGTCCCCACACGTCCCAAATTACGTCCGCCAGTAACCATACAGATGTTGCCTGAGAAATAACATTGTGTAAAGCAGACTTACCCGGCTCGAATTTAATGTGATTCAGTACTTTTCCTGTGGCAATGTCCACTTGAATAGTGTCATTAGGTTTGATGTTAGGATCTGGGTATCTGATTGTTCTGGCATCATGGGTAACAATGAAAGGTACACCCCCATGACCAACAAGCACTTTCCTCACTTTACATAGCTTGTATTTTGCCTCGTCAGGGTGGATACGATGAATAGCGAATCTGCCCTTAACATCATAGATCAAACGGAAATGTTCGTTTGTTTTCTCGATTGTGATAACATCCATGAATCCTGCTGGGTACTTCTTATCTGTACGCACCCTTCCATCGACTTTAATCAAACGCTGAGCTAAGATCTTTGTACATTCTGAGTAAGTCAGTGCATATTTAAGTCGGTTTCGTAAAAATATACTGAGGGGCAGGCACTCTCGAAGTTTGTGAGGACCTGTGCTTGGTCTGGGGGCGAAATTGCCACCCAGCTTATCCAACATCCAGTGCTTTGGAGCATTTAACCTCTTCAAGTGTTTCTTGTTACCACGAACCTATAGAAATAGACGAAATTGGCATACAAATAACATTAAAACTTACACCCATGTTAGCGTGACCAGTATACTAACTGCGAAACAGTGCGCGAGACAAAGTGGCGCTACCGCCGTTGAGCATTAAAACAGTATAACATAAGAAGCCAATTGAATGTTCACTTTGATTGTCATAACTCTCTAGAGGCTATGTTTTAACTCACACAATATTCTTTTTTATGAAAATTCACAGTATTTACTTCAGTTAAGGCAGAGGGTTATATATGTAAAAATGTTTGTCTTATACCAATGCCATGTTCGTGAAACACTCATACTACTTGCTTGACAATCACAAATTCCATAGTTCATATTTAAAAGCCTAATTAACATGGCATCTTGACTTTATGGCCCTTGAAGAAGTACACTTTTTCTAGACAGTGCAAAAATAAAATTCTATATCACGACTGTTTTCTTCTCTTTTTTGTTTCCTGTCATTTGTACTGAGTGATCGTACTGTGGTACAGTGGACTAAAATCTCAACGCTGCATCAATTACTTTTATTAATTGTGGTTCTTGTTTCAAATGAATATCATTATTTATGTTGTAGAATTTCCATCTTTTGCAAAGGTAGAAGAAATAGTTATTTTAGTTTATAACCTCGACAGTATTATGTGGATATAGAATGTAGCAGAAACAAGTGATATGTGTGTATTCATTCACAAACAGTCCATTCTGTCTCTCAAATAACCTATATCCTAGATATATTGTGATTTTACCTTAAATAACAGAAGTAATGCAGTACTTAGGTGCTCGGTTTTCCGCTAAGCCTATATCAGTTGTTTAGTTAAGGTTTCTGAACTCTGATGAGTTCATTGATATCCCAGTGTGTTCATACGGAAATTGGGGAAAATAGTTGACAGCTGCAGAACTTCGAAGATAAAGATATGGATATGTTTGAATTCAGTGCTTAACATCAGTGTAAAAATATATGTATCCTGAATGAGAGGTCAAATAAGTTCTCATACGTTGCTCAAACCACTTGTGGCATCCATTCGGGAATACCCGATTATTGATTCTTTAATAGCTCCTTAATTAGTTGGAGGACGTTTGCTTGTAAGTGCTTCGCATGGCATTTTATATTCTAAAGTGTATCTTACTTTAATTGGGGCTGGAATACAGCACAGTGATTTGAAGACTTGTGAATAGATATGATGTGACTCAAGTGAAACATGTTCAGTTCAGCTTTACTCAAATTCTATTAAGTATAAGTGCAAAAAGCGTAAACTTTTAAAACGTTGGCTGAGATAATCAAAACCCAACTTAACATTCTTTTCCATCTTTAATTCCTCAGCTTGTTCCATAGCCCTTTCGACTTTGAAAACGCCAACGAAAGAGTCAAACGCCAGGAAACTCGCGATCTGTTGCATTATGGAGTGCTCCAAACCTACATCAGTCTAACGCAAGAGTTATGTAGTGATATTAAGTGTCAAGGGATTTACAACAGCAAAGTGCTGAAGGTGAAGTTTGTAATAAGACAAGGCAGACTACTGTCACCCACCAGCTTCTTGTTTGTGATGCTCTGGATCATGTGGCAG